TCTTCTGGAATCCTTTTACTCTCGTTTCTCTTCGAGTCTTCGCTTTCACGCTTGTCCTCAGCAGGTTTTGGGTGAAGGAATGTTGAATGGGTTCCGATACAACCTTGTACCTTACAGAAGCTTTGTTTGGTGCAAGAACGGACGAAGTGACCAGTTGAGAGACAGTTGTTACACAGCTTCTTTTCTCTCACGAATTTTTGTCGTTCCTCCAGCGATTGCTTTCGGAATTTGTCGCAGCGAGATAACCAATGGTTTGCCTGACAAAGCGGACACTTCAGCGTTTGTTTGGTAGTCTGACTCGAAAACCCTGCGGCTCCTCCATTTCTTTTCATCTTCGAATTCTGGAACTTCGGTGGCTTCTCGGCGGTGGAAATCTTCCCAAGGATGGGATGGGTCGTAGCTCTTGCCTTCGCGGTGACAAAGTCATTTACGTCCTTAATGCTGACATCTCTGGCTTCTCATTCAACGATTCGATCAACGTTGTCTCGCCATTTGATCCTCATTGGATAAGGCAATTGGTCGATTAATTTCTTTAGATTATCGGAGTTGTTCAATCTGTCCAAGTATCCGATCTTTTCCAGAGTGTTTGTACAACTTGTCAATTGCACCGAAAACTGCGATCCCATCTTCGTTCTTAATTTGCGGTCCGTTTATAAGCCCCTGTACGTGTGCGGCAGCAACTCTATAGTCTTGTCCAAATCTTTCCTTCAGCAGCCTTCTCGCATCTCTATAACCTAAATCTTCTCCCATTGTTAGACAACTCTTTCATTAGGCTTGTGCAGCACCAGACGTGTGCTGGATCGATCAGGTAATACAGTCGAGCACTTGAACTTGTAGTTTTAGCCTCGATAAGATGCTCGAAAGAACGGATAAAATCACAATAATCTATGGGGTTACCACTGAATACTTGCATGCTTGGTTGAGGAAGGGTTAGGGCTTTAACTCCCTGCTGTTGCTGTTGTATAAGTAGTTGGAGGGCATGCATGACTCTGCTGATTTTGCACTTCGACCAGTTTCTTAAAGGACTCTTCGTGGAAGTTATTCAAAGTACTGTTTGCCGAAACAGGTGTGGAGTTTGACGTCGCCTTCGAGAGTTTAGGTGGAGCTGGGGTCGTATTAAGTTTATTGTGTTCAACTTTGGCTGTCGTCACTTCAGGTTCAAGTTTTCTCGCTTGTAAGTTTCTAACTTGAGAGGGTAAACTACCGCTACGTGTTTCGGATTTGGCCTTCTCGTAGACTTCTCTTTCAGCCTCGGCTGCTGCAATCTCCCCACGTAACTGAAGCTGTTTCCTCCGTTGCTAAAGAGCAAGCTCTTCCATTTCGATTTGCTGCAAACGTTCGAGAAGTTCTACTTCGACTTGTAGGGCAGCCCTTTCAGCAGCAGCTCTTGCTCTCGCGCTGGTTACGCTTGTCTTTGACCCACAAGTGAGCGCGTACGATACGAAGCACGGGATCCCACTTGACTTATCGGGTCTTCTGGTTGAATGTTTACAAGTTCAGAGTCGGATTGACGCTTGAAGGATTTTTCTATCTCTTGAGCTATTTCAGCAAGCCATATGCCTGTCTCGTGTTCGAAATCCCTCGCAATTCTTTCGACAGAAATACGTTAGTCATCTGATTCACGCAAGTCGACATCAGATTCTGACCATGGTAGGCCTCGTGCATGTACGTCTTTGAACGCCTTTAGTTCATCGTGCAGTTCTCCTAATTGATCCTTGACAACAGCTAAGTTATCTTGGTTTTGCATAAACCCTTTGATTGTGTTCATTTTTCTGGTGATTTTTGATTTTGCGGTATTTCGTGCCTTCTTAAATTGTTCTATTGAACGTGCCTTCTCAGCCATAGGTAGATTTTCTTTAAGCTTCGTGGATAAGAACGTGGTAATTGATTTATGATTGCGGTAGCTAATCGGATCGGATCACAAGCTGTCAACACAGTCGTGACGCATTCAATTGACCAGTAACAAATCCGTCGAATTCCTTTTGACAGTGCATCAAATTCGAACTAAAATGTAGCTTTCGTCTGAACAGAATTTGAATAGCAACGATAATCCAAACGAAACTACTAAATAAACGGGTGCGTGGATAACAAACGAGCTCGACAGACGATTCTGATAACAATGTTCTGAGGAATTAATATAAATCAAAGATACTACAGGTATAGACTGACAAACACGAACTCGTCGTTGGGATAACACAGTCGAGCTAGAAACGATTTTCCGTAGATAATACGACTGGAAACGGACTGTAGATCATTGAGAATCGACTGGAAATCGATTCGAACTAGAATATAACAATTAAACAAACTAACTATAAACGAGTATATTATAACACAGAAAGCTAATTAGGATATACATATATGTGATATGACAATTAACGAGTACTTATACTGAGAATAACATGCATTAACACTACAAATTACTATTGCCGATATATGCGTGGCTATCAATATAACAACAGACACTGAATTAGGCATGCATGCGAAATAATCAGCGAATTTAGCGTTTGGAACAGCGATACTTAACTAGAACGTGCGGCATATGTGAACTAACACATTTTAGCAAAGAGTTATGCGCAGATTGCTAAAATAAACTAGGTTACCTGCAAGGTAGGGATTGCGGCGAGCATTTTAGGGTCCAAGTGAATTGTTTTATGAAATGTTAGTAAACTAAATCCGTTTTAACTAATAGCAATAGCAGGTTTAAAACCAGGGGCGTCGGAAGCGGGGGGGCCGGGGGGGCTCAGGCCCCCTCACTTTTTTATTTGGGGGGGCCTAAGTATCATTGGGCCCCCCCACTTTTTGACAAAGGTAAGTAATAAACCACAAAGTTATGATTGAAAAATTGATAAGCTAAAAACACTTTAAGTTAAACAATACTTCAGAAATTTGTATTTAGAAACTTTAAAAGTTGCGCGTACAGTCGAGAGTCGATATTAGCAAAATAAACATGAATTATTATTTTGAGGTTTAATGACATTTTTATTGTTAGAATTCTGTAAATCTTCTCCCAAAGTGCAGGATATGGCGTTTCAGTGTTCAGACTCTGGTTTTAAAAATTTCCCATAGGGAAGGCATGCCCCTGTAACAGTGTAACCTCTTAGAAAGTTGCCCACATTTGGCACTTGGCAGGCACTTTGTGGGCCCCCTCACTTCTGGCGGCGTTCCGACGCCCCTGTTTAAAACACGTAAAGTGAACCTCTATTGAGCGTTAACTCGCTGGGGCTGTACATGAATTAATACCTGTTAGCGAGAACACTGTCAATGACGTCAATATGTAGATCAGTATATGCTATATCAAGTTCTAACTTTCATCTCGAAATTGTTTTGAAATAGGCTGGTTTATATTATGATTTCGCGAGTAAATTTGCTATAAAGAAAAAAGTCGATTTATAAATGTTCAATTGCCTAAAGGATTTGTAGATCGCACTCGGCAAAAACGAATCGTCTGAAAATAGCCATTTTACAGTGCCATTAATACCAATTTCCCCGGTGTTGGATAGCCCGGGAGTGTTTTTCCTGCTGTCGAAAAGTAAAGGAGAAAACGCTGTCTTGCGAGTTGCAGCTCGTTGAGGTCAAAGTCTTTCAAAGCAGCTAGTTTTGAAAAGATTTTAACATACGAATCACAACAGCAGTAATAACAATAATAGTAATATTAGGTAGAATTTTAGGCGCGTAGCGACATTTTTCCCGCAACAAAGTTGAAAGTATTGTACTTCTCAGTTTCCGCGCGGAAAATATTGTTTGGGCGCAAAATTCCGCCTAGCGAAAATACAGGCCCTGAGCAGTGGCACATGTTTAACAAAATAGAACATTTTTTTGAAATATGCTATTTGTCTTTGTTGTAAGAGTCCATGTAAGTGTTTGGCTTCATGTGAAGAGTAACCAAACATCACTTAATACTTTGAACTTTGAACGCGCTCGAGAAGACGTGTAATCAGAAACCACGGGAAGATCCGGTAAAAACACTAAATATCAAAAACATTTAGCTCGTTGTAAAATAGGAATAAAAACATATGCCTATGCTTACAGTAACCTAATATAAAATAAGTCAAACATTGCACACAAATCTGAGTGATTCAGTCAGGCAATTCAGACGATCAATTCAATTGCATATTTTATCTGCGACTGTGTCATGTTATTAAACACGACACGCAAGCGTCAAGCCGCATACTTGAGACATCACTTGATGCAAAATATGGAGATCAGCAAAAAAATACAAATGTCAATGGATAAAAAAGATTTTAAAGCATCCGTATGTAAGACTTGATTTGCTTCACAGCACTGACAGCTCAACTGCTAAAGTAAAGGTCCACGTTAAACACTAACTTAAGTTTGGTTGAGTCTCCTGTATTTATGCAGAGCGATACCGGAACATGCAATGGATCTAGAAATGTTGTTTTGCGCAACGGACATTGCTAGGTTAGGCTGGGAAACCGCATTACGCATCTGCTGACTAAACTTACGCATTTTGGTTTAACGGTTGTGGCTGCGGAAAATAACAAGGTTGTTTTTGCCAATACAATATTATAGAAAACATCCGTTGGTTTGTCTCTTCCGTTTCGAAACCAACACTGCCGAACACGCTACATTTCTACCTTTGCACGGACAACCTCGGGTTCTATTGGTTTCCTTTTGATGCTGCAAGAACTTTTGCAATCACAGCGATTTTCCTATGTAAACCGATAGAACACTGTTCAGTTCAGTTCGACTCATTTTGCTTTTATGGAAAAAATTCAAATAAATATGTATATTTTTATTACCTCAGAATTCATTATACAATCTTGTATGCAGCTTCGAAACAAATCAAACAATAGCGGATTGTATCGTACGAACAATTTCCGACAGTCTTCGAACCCATTTTGTTATGCGCAGCAGGGATGCGCACAATGTGACACTGCTCTGTTAAAAACCTTTTAATCAGTTATTACATACAAAAATAATTAGGATAATAAGGCACACCCCGGAGTTTAGAATATGATTGACTGCATGACTGACTGCATGACTGACTACATGACTACAAACTGACTATTGTGAATTTTCGCAATTCACCACAATACTGCAAAGTTTAAAGACACTTTGCACTAAAAATTACAAGAGGCCTCTGATCTCTTGTCATTAATTGACGAGAAGCGAATATTTACGAGAATGTATTCCAATAACGTATCAAATGTGATCTGACGGAAGCGCGTTCAAGCAGGCATTAAGTCTTGTTGTCATAATTAACCACAATATCCATCGCAGAACGTCTTTTGTGACAGGTTTATAAAGGAAATTATTATACGTGTTGAGAACCTTATATTGCTCTGACAGGCAGGCAGTGTCTGGAGTGGTACAATATAACCAAGAAGTTTCAATCATAAACAATAATCATTCCACGGAGAGCCAGCCGTGATTCAATATCATGTCCGCTGAAGAAACTATCAATTACTCGAAATCATTTTCTTGCGAGGAAGTGTTAGCGCAAGCGAAATGGTATCATGACGATCTTCAGAAAGGAGGCTGGCGTGAAATATACAAGGAGGAAGGTAAAGCAACATTTTGGTTAAAAAACTTTCCCAACGAAGAAATAAGGACAAAGGTTTTGGTGAAATATCAACTGCCCTTGACCATTCAACAATTCATCGAGATCTCGAATCCTAAGAATATGGAATTTCGCGCTCAGTGGGACAAGGGGTTCGTCGGCAATGAAATATTGGAGGAATATCCCGATGGTGGGGGGTATTTGGTGTCTAACAGAGTGGAAATGCCATGGCCTTTTTGGGATCGAGAGTTTGTGCTGTTCACAACCCCAGCTATAGAAGTGGAGTGGTATGATAAACAAGCGTATCTCATTCCGTATATCAACGCTTCACACAAGTCAAAACCAGCAAACGAAGGGCCATATGTAAGAGCGACAAACGGCGGTCAGTTTGTAATTGCAACGGCAAACGAGAGCGATCCTGATCACAGCTGTACCATATTTGGTTTATCACACAATCTCTACAATGGCAATATGCCTTCAAGAGGTATAACATGGCTTATCGCTCGCGCCGTGCCCAAAGGCTTTCTCAAGTTCTATGACAGTATGGTCGAAGGATATAAAAGTTTTTTTGCTGATAAGTCATAAATATATACGAATGCATCGTTTAATAATTTCATGCTTTAGCGAAAGGAATGTATACCACTTGATTTTTTAAACTGTACTTATACATAGTGTGCTCATTTTGCAAAGGTAGTCATCACAAACTTTCACGATATTAAAATTAGCCATGTCAAAGCATAATTAAATCTTAGAAGGATGATAGCGTGATTGTTTTAATATGATTTGCCAAGTTCTGGGGACAGAGTAGGTGCAGTAGCGGTAGTTTATTGCAAATGGTTTAGAAACGGCCCCTTGAAAAGCAGCAACAGCTAAAGGGCTTCCGTTTTAACATATTTTCTGATAAATAATAAATACCACATATAACAACGCTTCACACAAAAAAGAGCGACAAAACGGCTGCTGAAATGCTGTCAGAATTTTTAAATAATAACATGCATGCATACTTCTATATAGAGAGAGGAATTCATTAGATGTGTATTGATATATATACCGGATTTGCATATGTTGTCACGACATCAAAATTAGCCATTTCGAAGCGTAATTTTATAAAAAGGATGATAGCGAGATTGTTTTAAAATGATTTGCCAAGTTCTGGGGGACAGAGATACCGTAGAAGAAGTTAAACTGAAGTTGTGAAACTTGCATGTGATCGTATGAATATGTTGTATACCTTACGTACGGATTACGGGTGTATAAAAAACCGCAACTTATATTGCAAAGTTTTGATCTTTAAGCAGCGTACGCAGGTGCTGACGTAACCCTAGTCTGCATGACAGGCGGTCCCTAAATTCAGAGAATTATGTATTTTAGAAACCCCGTCCATTGGTGGACGGGAACTGATGATTGCATTGCTGCGAATATATACCGCTGTCAATCACTAGTACATATTTTTAATTTGTAACGTTCAAATTTGTAGGCTTCTGTTCTTGGCGGAATTTATTTACGATAGCGGTCGCTCCGCTCTGCTAAAACTAAATTATTTTCGAAAGTCGAGGAACGCCAACTGTTTATTAAGCGCGAGCCAAGAGATAGCGTTAAAGATTCACTCCTTGGGAAGCATGTTTTAGCCGTTCTACCTACTAGTTATGATACCGTTCTACCTAACATAACGAAAATTGGAGGAATATCCTGATGGCGGGGGGTATTTGGTGTATAACAGAGTGGAAATGCCATGGCCTCTTTGGGATCGAGAGTTTCTCCTGTTCGCAATCTCGGCTATAGAAGTGGAGTGGTATGAGAAACAAGCGTATCTCATCCCGTATATCAACGCTTCACAATAGTCCAAACCAGCAAACGAAGGGCCATATGTTAAGAGGGACAAATAGCGATCAATTTGTAATTGCAACGGCAAACCAGGGGGAACCTGATCACAGCTGTACGCCTGTATCGTATTTGGTTTATCGCCTAATCTTTACAACGGCAACGTGCCTTCAAGAAGAATGCAATGCCTATTTTCAATGCCTATTTTCACGGGCCGTGCCAGAAGCCTACCAAATTCTACGACAGTATGATCGAAGGGCGTAAAACGTTTTTCGTAGATAAATGGTATATGTGCAACCACATATGATATGTATAAATATTCACGAGTATTCGATCTTTTGTGATCGAATACAAAGCTATTATTCATGCATGAATATTTTGTGGTTGCGTATGTATATTCATCGGTATTGTTCCTGCTACAAGAGCATTCCACATTTGTGTTAAAATTTGCACACGTTTACAATTTTTCCTTGGTTGTGACGTCATTTAATGAGATCGAACTTTAAGACAAGATAGCGGACTGGGGCCGGTTGTATAAAACTGCTAAAAACATTTTGTTTAGTTAAATCGTAGTCAACTCATTGGTTGTTGTGTCACTATATAGTTAAAAGTTAATTATGTTTTTTTAAAACTGCACGTTAATCCCAGTCCAAGAACTAAGCAAGATATGAAAATTTAGATATATGAAGATACGATTTTGGGGGTTGGTGGGTGGCAGCTGCATATATTCACATATTCATGTTATATCACACAGCGTAAGAATATGAAGATGCATCCACCCCCACAAATAAGCTTCTAGCTACGGGCGCCTTGGTTTCGTGTATTCAAAGCTCTGTTGCTTCTAATACGTTATGAATATTTTAAGACTGAATTAGGTTAAATCATCTTTCCCTAGGCTTCCGCAGTTTCTTGAGAATGGTTAAATACACATTTTAGTTTCTTGGAAATGGTTGGTTAATATAAATGTACGTTTCCAATTGTTTAGCAAAAGGACGAAAATTTATAAGTTATGAACGTATCTATGATCTTTCGACTGAAGGTATAGTATAGCAACAGTATAGCAACATTTTTATAGCACTGACTCGTTTCAAAATAACGGTTATAGTTTTATTACCGCCATACAGTTTCATTGTTAATATTTACCTTATAGAAGCTTCGTTGATAGAAATGGTTTAAAAATTAGTGGGCATTTTTTTCTATTTAGAGATGATTATTCGCGCGTAAATAATCGCAAACCTTATCAAAAATCGATAGAGCAACTTCATCGTCGTTTGCGATACAAACACATCAAAACTGCCTCGTCACCACGCGCTTTACTTCTGAAACATTTTTCAAAATCGTTATTGGAAAAGTTTAAAAGAAGTAACACCACACACGTCCCATCTCCCTTTGCGCGCTCACAACATCAAGGAATTACTTCATATAAACTTTTAGTATAATGGCTTCATGTAAACTTTTTGTATAGTGACTTCACGAAATCTTTTTGAAGCAAAGCGTCTAAGAACGAGGGAGCGAGTGAAATGAATTTGGAGGCCATTTTGCAATGTCGCGTTGTTGCTGTGGCAACAGTTGCTTTAGACACAATCTATTGTACCTTGCATCAAATTCTATATGGTCGTTTAACCAAACATTTAGATGTTTAACATCCATGTGCATTAAACTATTTTTAAGTCTGAGTACAAACTTTGGAAATATCTTCCAGGCGTACGCGCGCACGCATGGTTAGATTAAATTTTTAGTATGTGCGAGTAGTTAGAGTACTTAAAAGAGTGTTTAAATAGTCAATTTTAGACTAGTTTGCGCACAAAAATGGATATGTGACTAAAAATGCAGTTTAACCTGACAGGTCTAGAATATAAAATATGTCTCAGTAAGTTATTAAAGTTTCAGACAATGTGGTGGAGGCGTAAGCGAGCGCGCGAAGTTAAGATGTTTACTTTAGGGCATGTTTGCCCTAAAACGTTTCAAGTCTGGTTTTTGACGACTTTCAAGTCGTGACTTTCAGCTGTGTCAATTTGCATTTGTCATAAAACCAGCAGCCTCTGAAACGTTGGGAAATGGAAGTCAAACGTGATTTTATAATGTACGCAAATTAGTCACATCTGAGACTAATAAACTTTAAGCCGGAAAAAAATTAGTCGTGCATGAATGAAGCGCTAAATTCTCTAAAACTTGAATAACTTATGAAAGATATTGCATATTTTTGTCCCCTCGCCAGGGGGCAGATAGCTGCATATTTGAGGCCGAACAACATCACACTAGTTCTTTGTTTCCTTTGTCTTTGCCTTTCGTTTTCTTTGTTTTCTTGATAGCACTAATGACATTTTGGCCTCAAATATTTGCATATCTACCAACTCTGCCCCTCGCCTATTTTTGTGCGGAAGCCGTTAATTAAATTGCCTGTTAAAACACGGTTTAAAAAAACCTTTTAAACTTTCTATACAGTAAGTGTCTATAGACACATACAAAAAAGATTTCCTAAACGATGCATGGGTGCGCGCACGCCTAGAAGACATTTACCATGCAAGTGTAAACTTTTATTATATACACTGTAGAGGCCGACAAAATTAATAGCAATACAAATAAGGCTTAATTTCTGGTATTTTTTGTACAAAATTTAAAATATTCTTTAAATATACATATTTAGTAATAATATCTTGCTACACGTCGTTTATACCCACACCAAACTGCAGGCCAGGGTTAATACTATAAAAAAGGCATAATTTGATAACAAGATGGTGGAATGATAAATTATGACGCAATCCTGCTGCCTAAGTGCTTTTTTATGTTTAATTCTTCAGTTTCATGCACGATGGGCGAAATTTTCAAGCGAATTGCTTCTTCTGAATTGTGAGCAATCGAACAAAATTAATTTATACTAAAGCGGTCAAAAGAAACAGGCGAAAAATTTTGCATTTTAAGAGAACAGCGCCCGTGGAATTGAGAACAGCGCCCTGAGGCTTGTTAACGTGTGATGGGCGTTACTGGAACCCAGTTTCGATGAACAGCTAAACCTAGCCGTGTGAGTATACATACTTATTAGCGTTCAACTGATTAGGAAGTCAGTCCCCTTCTACCCTATAACTAGTCCCTTCTACTAACTGTGGATGTTTGTAAAATAGACTTCCATCTTACAACTTCAAAAAATATGTGACTTACGAAATTCTTACCTGTCAGTGAGAGAATTCCATCCTAAAATGCAGTAGTTCAACTCAAACCGTGCTATCCCTGCCAGCAATACAAGACCTGCTCCATACGACCATCGAACGTTTTCACCTAAATATTCCATTCGTTTCTTCCAAGGGATGGCTAGAATTTTTAAAGTAGGCAATAATTAATTAAACCATTTCCCTCATGGAAAACCAGAAATAGAAAATAATAATATAGTTAAGGAAATTCACAAGCTAGAAAGCATCTCAAATTCGCTAAAATTGGAGGGTTTGGTCATCAAAATTTGCGCAGCACATTTTTCTATAACATTTTACATACTCTGCGACCTCACTTAGGAAAGTCGCTTAATTCAGGATAATCTATTCTAAACCTTCTATCACAATGCTTTCAGGGATTGTTGAAGTAGGATAAAACATGATGACAAGTACCATCAATATTTAAATTACTATAAATATTTTAAGTTCTATCAGTTTCAACTTTTCACACGATTAATGGTAAATGGTCATGAATATTAAAACAGTTTATGTTCAGCAAAATGTCTCTTCCCAGCAGGAATAGGCGCTACTTTAGGGGATGAAAAATTGCGCCCCATTGCTTTCTACATATATTCATACTTTTTATGGGTGAGATTAAATGAACTTCTCCCCAAAGAGGCTTAAGCTTACCACGTGGCTTAAAATTTCATTTTCAAAAGTGAACACTTTGATCTCATATCTCATATTTTGATCTCTATTATGCGTTGAATATATTGAAGACATGATATTTCATTATTTCTCTGACAATTACACAGTGTTTGGAGTGGTATACTTTATAAACCAATAAATTTCATTTTCAAATTGATCCAGAGTATATCGCGGTAATCTAGCCGAAACATGTTGCAGACAAAATAAAAAGTGGATTTTTCAGCACGTAAGAGTGGAGAGATTGTATAAATAAATATGGCCGGTGCTGGGGCAAAAAACTAAAATAGAATAATATAAAACCAAAAAATGAACATTTTAAAGATGTCTCGTTGAGTGTTTGTAGATTGTCTAAAACAGTGGAGAGATAAAGTTATTTGCAGGTTCGTCATACCTTCCGTAAATTGTGTTATATTTCCACCGGTGGCAAAAATGTGTGTTCGAAATCTTTCTGCGAAGCCGCCAGGTCTAAATGGCAGAGGTGTGTAGAGATGAAGGCCTAACGACCAGTACATGTCTCCACCCAATGAGTCACCTGTCGGAACAGAAGGCAATATAAAACGTATGAGAACTATAAGGAATTATTACTGTTGAGAATAGGTGCAACTATTTTGAGGGGCGGAAAATGCAAATAATTATAATACATAGCTACTACAACATTTTTGGAAACATTTCGCAACAGTCATTAACCTTAATATATTTCTTCTAAGTGAGATAGTGTCATTTAAACCTGAAAATTAATCGTTTAGGCACCAAACGAGCCATGCATACTAACTCACTTTGTCGTCTTGGCCCTATTCCAAACGTTTTAAAACCTCGTATTGAAAGCGGTCCACCAAGGAAAAATCTATTAGACAAGGAGAAAAATACGTAAAAAGTTGAATGGACCATTCAGTCAAAACTAGGAAAATTCTTCAGTGAAAGCTAGAAAGGCGTCCCCAATTAGTAAGACAGGAAAACTCGGTTGCAAAATATGGAGACGTGTGAAAACTGAAAAGTATCGCCGTGTAAAGTTGTTAAAATTAATTTTGTATAAATGGACCATTTGCATAATAGACCCACTTATGATCTAGGTAACAAGAAGGAAATAAATGACCACAGCTAAAAAGAGCATACTTGCCAAGTGGCATACTTGCCATAGTATAATTGCCAAGTTTAGCTGCAAAATGTGAAGTAGTACGGCAAATATAGCCTTGTGAAGTAGCCAATTTTTGTATACTTTTGTATAGTATTGAAATACGCTGGAGGAAGGGAGGAACTAATTTAGTAAAACAGTCCCGCCCATAATACAAAAGTATATAAAATTTTCCAACCTCGCTCGATACAGGTATAGGTAAATACTTAATTTAAAAAAAACATGTATATATGCGTTTTTTATTCATATCTAAGCATAAAAGTTCCTTCGTCTTTTTAATTTGATCTCAGATTGTTACGTTTTCTTCCTTCAGGCGGTCAAAAATCCTAAAAGTATATAATGCTACCTGCTTGCCAGCTCTTTACTCCCAAACAAACAACTAACCTGTCATTTATATGAGATTTCTCAGAAAACGATTTCAGAAATCCTGCCTTTGCCGTCATCGAAAATATCTGAAATGAAAAAAACACGTCGCCATAGATAATCTTCAACCGTTCGAAATGCGTATAGAGATTATTAGCTAGTGAGACAGTGTCATGGTCAATCAAAACGAAAGACAACTATAATATAACGAGCCGGGCAGTGCCGGAAAAATACAACTATAATATACATGTGCACGTATATTATCTCTTTAAATCAAGCTGAATCGAAAAGGGAAATGCAGGATGCACTATAGGAAGTTTATTTAAGACTCGGCCAGCACGAGAATGCACTCGCAAAACAAATAAACTTCATGCGGTGTGACGAAAAATTTAGCTACCATCCTTTGGACGCTGTAATTAAATTCCCGTACTAAAAATACATACGCGTAGAAAGCCCTTGCCTTTGTTAAACGAAAAAAAATTAGGGATGCTATAACATGATAGGTAGAAAATTTATGTGGCTTAGGGGGTTTGGATGGTACGTGGTATGTGAGAAAAGAAGTATGGAAGTAATTTTGTGGAAGTAGAAGCACTCTAGTCATAACAGCTTGTAAAAATGAGTTTTAATACAGCAACGGAGCTTTTGCATAATAGAGAAACTTTCGATTTAGAAAACAAAAAGGAAATTTTGAAAAGTGCATACTAAATTTAGTAAAATTACCAAGTTAGGCTGCAAAATATTGTAAAGTGCGGAAAATATAGCCATGTGAAGTTGGCAATTTTGTATACTTTTTACTACGGCCGGAAGTATGTAACTAAATTAGTTCCGGCCGAAGTAAAAAAGTATGCAAAATTGGCTACTTTGCATGGCTATATTTTCCGTAATACTTGGCATTTTGCAGCCAAACTTGCCAATTATACTAATTTTTGTATGTTCCTTTTAGCTGTAGTGATTTATTTCCTTCTTAATTTGTTACCTAGATCGTAAGTTGGTCTATTATGCATTAAAAGCGTAAATGGTATCATGAGGAGCTTCAGAAAGGAGGCTGGCGTGAAATATACAATGAAGTAGGTAAAGCAACATTTTGGATCAAAAACTTTCCCAGCGAAAAAAAACCCGACAAAAGTTTTGTTCAAATACCAATTGCCGTTGTGATTGAGATTTCGAATCCTAAAGAATATGATGTTTCGCTGGTGAAAAATGTAAGAACGCACGTCAGAATCTCCAAAAACCTACGATTTTCGGGCGGCTAAAAGCAACACCCAGAAATATTGTGGATACACGTACCCGTGGATACACGTACCCACAAAGTCAGAAGATATGCATAGCCTCGTGGTGGAACGGTTCGGAAAGGTTGGATGATCACGAGAAATGGTCAGACAATATCACGACGGAACCATCTGCGAGTATCGGTCAGAATTCTGAGTTTCGTGAACAATTGAAAAGCCAAGGAAAAACATTAGGCTGGTATAACAAGCCAAGAGATTGGAACTGCTCATTTCAGAAAGACAGCGACAGGAAGAAAGATCGGAAACAGCTCAACCTACAGGAAAACGCCCATGATCCAATATATTTGTCAAAAATTAGTCCAAGGAGCACATTTACGTCCTTTCTACTGGGGATATAGACTATCACACAGACATTTTAGATACGTAAATTGAAAAGTTTAGCTAAACGACAAATTAAATCTAACATGCCACGGGTGTCGTAGATTTCAAACTAGGTACTGCCCGGGAAAAAACCCTTGTTATAGGGAGAACTGTAGAGAGTAGTGAGAGTATCTAGCTATAAACTACTTGGAGTGAAACTAAGAGAGGACCTCAAGTTGATTATGTTGACTATATATACAAAAAAGCTTGTGTAAGAAGCTATATTCTCTATGTGCTCTTTGTAGAGCTGGCGTTAGGCAAAAATGAAGGTGTGAAGGTGTACCTAACTCTAGGCCTACCATCTGACCCGTGTTGGAATATGCGGTACCAATATGACCAGCGATACATAAATATTAATGCAACTAGAAGTAATCAAAGATTAGCGAGTGCGTTCGGTGATCGGATTTCTCATCGTTAAAACACTGCAAGATAGATTCCTGATGCTTTGATAAGAATTTTCACTGATATTTCAAACACTTCAAAATCAAAATAATCTTTACAATTCCTACAACTTCTTAATGAAACAGGCGAATACAAAAGCCCAATTGCTCGGTTCTAACTCCTAAACAATAACAAAATACGGAAAGCACGCGAAATTAGGACGCGATACGAAATTCGGCAGGGGAAGCAAACGAAAAAACACGAAAGCGAGGCAAATGCCACACAAAAATCTAAAAACGACATAGCTTTCAGCCATGACGTCACCTTCGTCGAACGCAAAAAGATAGAATCCATACAGAAAAGAGAACTTCCAATTATTTACCATTCAGTTGATAGTTGTGACGAGGAGATGCTCAAAAGCGACTTTTTAAACAACTCAATTACACTTAATTTTCATTGCCGGTTCCGTTGCTACCCCGTTACTAAAGAAAACGAGAATGGACCAATCAGTAGTTGAAGGACTATTATAACTTAATAGACTCGTTAATTGCTGGAAAAGAGTTCTAATAAAGATATCATACGTATCACATATTAGAGCGATTTATCTGGAATTGGTAGCAACAACTCAAAAAGTTGGTATGTTTAAATTAAAATTTAAATTCACATGCACTTTCAAAAAATCCTTTTTAAATTCTTTGAAATGTGATTCTATGACAGGACGTTCTCTATCCGTTTTTACGTATAAACACTTCCCATGAAAGGTAACCTATACCTTGAGTAGCTCAGATAATACGTAACATAAATACGTAAAATAACGTAACATAAATAGCGATGTCAAAGTGGCTATGATAGGAACGAAACGACAGTTATAAACAATTTCAAGTAGATTTTATTCATTCCACGGAGAGCCAGCTGTGATATAATCATGTCCACTGAGGAAACTATCAACTACTCGAAATCATTTTCTTGCGAGGAAGTGTTAGCGCAAGCGAAATGGTATCACGAGGATCTTCAGAAAGGAGGCTGGTGTGAGATATACAAGGAGAAAGGCAAAGCAACATTTTGGATCAAAAACTTTCCGAGCGAAGAAATACCGACAAAAGTTTTGGTGAAATATCAACTGCCCTTGACGGTTCAACAATTCATCGAGATTTCGAATCCTAAGAATATGGAATTTCGCGTTCAGTGGGACAAAGCATTCGTCGGCAATGAAATATTGGAGGAATATCCCGATGGTGGGGGATATGTGCTGTATAACAGAGTGGAAATGCCTTGGCCTCTTTGGGATCGAGAGTTTATGCTGTTCACAACCCCAGGTATAGAAGTGGAGTGGTATGATAAACCAGCGTATCTCATCCCGTACATCAACGCTTCACACAAGTCCAAACCAGCAAACGAAGGGCCATATGTGAGAGGGACAAACGGCGGTCAATTTGTAATTGCAACGGCAAACGAAAGCGATCCTGATCACAGCTGTACCATATTTGCTCTATCGCATAATCTCTACAACGGCAATGTGCCTTCAAGAGGTATGCAATGCCTATTTGCACGGGCCGTGCCAAAAGCCTTTACCAAATTCTACGACAGTATGGTCGAAGGACATAAAATCTTTTTCGCCGATAATAAGGCATAAAATAAAGCAATTAAACTTTATAATCACTGTAACTTAATATACACAGTATATAGCAAATGATTTATAGTGAGACGATATAACAAAATGAGAATTTTTTCCTCATGCATTGATTAGCTTTCTTGTGAGAAGAAATTCGAGACTTTGATGAACTCAATTTTTAAAATTTTTAGAATCAGTGCTTATATATAAATGTGTATAGTCTTTTGAACTGAGGGAGCCAAAATACATTTTATTACAAATATTAGCTACAATCGCCTGTTAACGGAAACGGAGTAAGTCAGGACATTCGAAGCGGATCCGAGCGTAAACGGTGTCAAGGTATAATAGAACTGAATGAAAGCATCTCGTCCATGCATTAGGTTTCTTTTAGAGAATATGTTATTTGATCGAGTTGAAAGCCATCATCAGATTGTGCTTTGTCTGTAATATCTGGTGTGTAGACAGTGGCGATTCCGTGGTTGTGATGCATGCACAAGAGACACACGTATAAAACACTGCAGAGAGAACAACTAAAAAATCATTGTCTCAGAGTCGGAGCGGGATTCGGGTTTCTAGACCGCATTAAGTGCACGAGTTTTTTTGACGATTTAACCATTATACAAATACAGCTATAGAGATATACACACATTAACCCGGGTGGTTTTTTTTGACAGCCTGTTGACCTGCCTGGTCGAGGATTAAGGAATAAGGAATACTTTCTTCTGCTTTCGAATTCTTCGTGAAAAGACATACTAAAGCGATCGAAAACGTCAGCATGAGTATGCAAACAGTCAGAAATGATGCGTGATGGTCTTTCATGACTGAATTATTAGTGCATGAGATCGACAATTATGGTAGTTTAATTACTTTTGCAAAAATTCCAAATATCATCATGCATGTTTCATGAAATGAATACATCCAGATGTAAAATAGTGCAAACTCGGATTTTAAATCAAATTTAAATTTTTAATTAAAAACTGGAATTTTTTCTCCCAAATGCTTGAGCCGCATCTGCGTTTACGGCATAACAAAAAAGTACTATGCATCATTATAGATTAGGAATTGAAATGGTTTGAAACAACAGGGGTTTTTTGCCTTGTTAAATTGGCAAAAAAAATTCGTAACGCAATATGTTCTAATGAATATGCTCTTGACTATGTGTCTGTAATGTGAGCACCTGCGTGAGTGACCGTGGTAAAACACTCGAACTTTGACTTTAAGTAATCACTAGGGAGCTTTAGCAGTGACACAGAATACGTATTATCAAAAGTGTAATAATAGATTATTTTTGTCCTCGAATTTTCCCTAAATGTCACGTTATACACAATGCTGGTGAATTTTTTACTATTTCTACCGTTTTAGTAGTAATTTTTTGGCTCTTAATTGATATATAAACTAGAAATACATGCATGCAGCAACCCTTCGCTTCGGTTAAACGATATTAGTTAAGCTTAGGGATGGTAGGGATTGTTAGAAAATCTATGTGGGTTGGAGGTTTTGGTTTTGGAGGGTACATGCTTGGTGGTATGTGAGAAAAAGAAATTGAGAAAAGTATGGAAATATTTTTCTGAACGTGGAAGCTCTGTAATGGCAGAAATGCGACAAGATTCTTACCTTTTTCTGGAAGTTAAGTTACTCATCTATAGTCAGTGTTATAATAAATTATTTTAATTATTAATTACCATGAAATATAACATTGCTGGAAAAGATTTCCAGTAAAGATATCATACGTATCACATATTAGAGCGATTTATCTGGAATTGGTAGAAACAACTCAAAAAGTTGGTATGTTTAAATTAAAATTTAAATTGAGATACACTTTAAAAAATTCCTTTTAAAATTCTTTGAAATGTGATTCTATGACAGGGCGTTCTCAATACGATTTTACGTATAAACACTTCCCATGAAAGGTAACCTATACCTTGAGTAGCTCAGATAATACGTAACATAAATACGTAACATAACGTAACATAAATAGCGATGTTAAAGTGGCTATGATAAGAACAAAACGACAGTTATAACCAATTTCAAGTAAATTTTTTTCATTCCACGGAGAGCCAGCTGTGATATACTCATATCCACTGAGGAAACTATCAACTACTCGAAATCATTTTCTTGCGAGGAAATGTAAGCGCAAGCAAGATTTATTTGCACTGTCTGCTGTTTCAACCATGAGAAGTTTGTTTCTCAGAGGAAGGTCAGTGCTGACGCATTTGACTAACAATAATTCCCCCTAATCTACATTAGTTCCTCGCTTGGTTGACCACAGCCTATCTACCTACCACTACCTTTGCGTATCTATGCATTGTTAGCTATCTGTGGTTTTACCATGTTGCCAAGGGCGAAACCACTTCCCTCAACTGTTCAGTTGTTCCTCTCTAGTGACTATTTTTATAACCCTATAATAACAATATACTTAACTAACTATATACTTAAATAACAACACATTCAGATTTATAGTGAAATACATTTGAGAATATTAAGGTTGTGTTTAGCGCAAAAGAATTACTTTTTAAAGCTGTGCCGGATGAAATATTATCAAGTATAAAATCTTCCGACTTATTACATTATACACGGTGAATTCGGTCGAAAATTTGGTCTTGTTATTTGTTAAACCGTGAAAAGTCCTGACCTCATTCGAGTTTCCCCCTAATTTAATTAAAAATACCTATATATTCTATATTTACGAAGATATAAATTTATAAATTTCATCAAAATTTTGCGAAATGACAGTTATTCATTGACGTTTTAAAACACAAAATTTTTGTCTTGACCAATCAAGAGCTTAGTAGTTAACACTAGCGGATGCGCATAATAATGACTTTTTATACCTGTGCCGGGTCTTATTTTCCAGTGTAAAATCTTCCGACTTCATTATACACGTTGAATTCGGTCGAAAATTTAGTCTTTTTTTTTGTTAGACCGTAAAAAGTCCTCACCACATTCGAGTTTCCCTCTAATGTAATTAAAAAATATATATATATTCCATATTTATGAAAATATAAATAGTATGAAAATATATTTATAAGTTTCTTCAAATTTTGCGAAATGACAGTTATGCAGGTTTAAAAATACAAATATTTGTCTCGACCAATCAAGAGCTTAGTAGCTTACACTGGCGCATGCGCATAACGTAGAAGACCGTCCATGGCGTGAGGTCCATTGCATAATGGCGGACAACATTGATTTCGCATTTGCACATCGTGGGTGTAAATATCCGAGCGGAATTAGTACCCTCGCATGGTGCTCCGCACCGGCTCGGGACATTTTCATTACTGAGAAAGACATCTGTCCATCTTCAGTTATCTATGGCAGTGACCACGAGTACGAGATTCGTCATCCTCGCGTGTTGTTTGTTGTTTACTTACGCCGTCGAGCTTTTGAGTACGAGTTTCTTGATTAATTTCGTATTCAAAAGCCCGACTACGACTTTCGTCAGATTGCGTAGGCAAAAGCATTGAGTTACCACAAAAACGACGAATTTTGTACTCGTAGTCACTGCTAAAGCTCCGCATTAGGCAGATTTAGCATGAGGACGTCAGACGTGAACGACAAAGTCGACGTGAAAAAAGTTTGATGCATGCACAGTTGCACCATAACATAGATTCAATTCACATACCGAATCCCATGATCCACTGCCAAATAATTTCACCTCTCCTTCGCTCTTTATAAAATTCACGTCACCAAGTAGACCTGAGTATTCCTGTTAGTAGAAAGTGGGTGAAAAAGATTATACGAGATGTATTAGTTTGACGGAATTCTATCGCGGGAGTTAAAGTCACTACATCATAAATGAAATCACGGCTGAAAATGACGAAGTTCTAAAATGACGGTCAGTCTGGTTACCGGAACGTAATGGCTAGTTCGATTAGAAAAGACTCATTTCAACTGGTCTATATCCAATCTTGGGGCGCTCTCCTTTACGCGGCCAAAATATGGTCAAGTCGTCATATTTTGAATGAAAATAGAATATTTCTTTAAGAGTATAGTGGCGAGACTGTATTTTTCGCGCTAAGCAGATGTAAATAACGATATTGTTGAATACCGAACTCTTGAAACATTCTAAAATACCAGAAATCTGGGACCGATTGTATGAAAGCCGGATAGCGCTATCCACCGGATAGTGTTTTTTTTTCAATCTTTGATTAAATCTTTTTTAACTTTGATTAACTTTGATTAAATAACTTTTTTTAACTTTGATTAAATCTTAGTATTCCTAAATCGAGTATCCTCTTTAATAATTGCTGGTTCCAAAAATAAAATTTTATCGCTTTTCAAGCATTTTTAGAACGGTTGAAAAGATTACTATCCGGTGGATAGCGCTATCCGGCTTTCATACAACTGGCCCCTGTCTGATATAAATTACAACAGGAACGGTCTGGCCTAGCCTCCTTCGCAGGCATATCTTATGTATAAATTATATTCGGTTATTAGGGCAGCTAGCCCAAACCAAATATATAAATTTTTAATACATAAGAGATGCCTGCGGAGGAGGCTAGGTCTGGCCGTTTTTACCGTATAAAGAAAAGCGCCCTTGGAGTCAGCCTTTCCTATATGTTTTGCAATCGCGTGTGAAATTCTTCCTAAAATGGTGGATTCAATTTACCGGCAATGTTGTCTATGAATATTTCCGTACAACTGCTTTTTTGTATTTTGGTTGGTACATACAGCTATAGCTACCTGAGAGAATTTAATGAAATGTCCCTGAGTTGGGAACTCTCCATTATCTCGTCCATCCATAACCAGTGTATGCTGAAATACGAGACAGACTCCAGATTATATATTAATTTAAAACCATATAGAGCGAACAAATATTATGTGAGATACGGAGACAGTTCGTCGTATTTGAAAAAAAACCATAACAGTTCAAAATGGCACTCTTCTCAAATTGAAAGGTTTAGCCAATAAGACTTGAGGCGACATATTATTCATCACTTTCGTGCGTGTTAACAACATGAAAGTGAAATTAATATCGTGTGTTCCCAGGGGTTCTTTATGCCAGCCATAAAATTAATACGATAAGAAAACTAAGGTTGAAGACACAAGAAAATTTAGTAATATGAAATAATTTGAAGGGGACTGAATGTCTGGAAGCATACAGTATATACAGTAGGGCATCCACACCATACAACTTTGACGGATCCAATTATGTACCTTCAGATGTATGCAATGAAGATTGTTATTGATGAGGCACTACTACATTGGCTTTCGTTGAATTGCTCACCATATACAACGCAAATCAAGAGCCAAAAGACCTATTCGAAACCTGTAAACCAGTGGCGAGGTCCTGTGCTCGAAAGCGAGGCCAGTCAGATTTCTTTTTCGGAATTTGAGAATGTGTTTAATTTGACTTTGTAGCTGGACCTGTCACAAGCTACCAAAAACTATGTTTCTTTTAATCAAATTAATTTTGCCAGTAGAAAGAGCATACAGTGTAACATATCCACATTCATTGCCTACCCCTTTTCGGGTGGAATTTTCCTTCGTAGGGTATACATGCACTATATTCGCGAATTCTCTCTGACGAAACAATGCTCGAGGAAATATCAAACTTACTTTTACAGAAGACTTGAGAGAACGACCAGCATGCTGTCTTATATCAAACGATGCCAGCGGTGGGATTCCCATGATCCTTCTCCAAGCTCCTTCCCATGTTACTGAATGTGAACCAAGCCAGGACGGAAACTAAAATTAAAATAAAATCATTCTGAGAATGATCTGTGAATGATCTGTGGAGCCAAAATATTGAACATGAAAGGGTAAGACAAAGGTAGCTACATGGTTGTGTTCTACAGATATAAACTCGAGTTTACGGTTTGAATTAATGCGTATTCTAGCTCCTCTTTTGCCAGATCAAGATAATGCCAGAGGACTGCGCTACTGGATACCTTCTTTAGAGTTACATTTAATACAAATAACAGCTAGGGCATGAAATTCATACATGAGGAATTGGGGACGTTTGAAAGCTTTAGTGATCAAATTATAGCTACTGTATAATTTGCTGATCCTATTTGAGGTCTTTGATAACGACAATATACTGCAAGTAAATCAAATATCCCCTATACTTCACGTGATTCTTAAATTTCTTACAGTTTTCATCCCAACAAAGGCGAGGTTTATCTTACTGAGCTATATAGAATAATAAGTAAAGTAAATAGTGTTGACTACACGCCTGCTAGCGTAAACAAATTTCTCTAATTTGATAGCAACGATGTTTGTGCGGTCATTGTGATGCAGCATAACATTGTTCAGCCCACAACTTTCATCTGTGATTGATGTAATTTATTTATCTCAACTTTAATACTAACTCCCATACGCCTAACCCGCTAAAATCAACCTCAACCCTAAAATCCTACAGTCAAATCTGGAGTGAACTAGTTAGTGACTTACGGACAGGTCTGCGGTAACGCTATGCGATGATTCCATGAATGAACTGAAGGGGAAATCAATTAAAGACTTCCGAGCATCCAAAGAAAACCTGGAGTAGAGAGCAAAGAAAATTACAAGAGTTTTAAAGGAAGTATACGTTGGGTAATATCCTCAGGTTCTGTGAAATGACATGCTACAGTAGCTTCTCGATTTGGATCCAAAAAATAATACTCCACTTTTACCTCTATTAATTGTGTGAGAGAAACCGGGTTTAATTTCACAGTTTTGAAAGGAATTCTAACTTTGTAAATATTATTAAAGGATCAACAGCGCTGGATACAACGCTTTCTTGGGGCGAGTGTAAAGCCGGTTTTCCACTAGCGATATTTTTCGCGCGAATCGACATTTTACTTTTGTTCCAGAGCTCTCAAATGCAAACATCCGGAACAAATTGCTCAAACACAAAGGAATAAAGTCGCTTCGCGCGAAAAATATCGCTAGTGGAAAACCGGCTTAAGAAGTGGAAGATGCGCGATGCAAATCTCAGTTGAGACAACAAAATTACAATATACTGATCAAGGTCTACAAGAAACAACTCACTGTTGACTTACTTTTTATTCAAACTTCTGCTGATTGGTTTCATAAACCCAACGCGATAGCTAGTTTTCGTATTGGTTCCTGTTGAAACATCAGCTGTAAAATTCTCTGCTCTTCCAAATACATTAATAAGTCGGCCACCTACAACCTGCAGGTCATATATAGAAGAACGTCATCAGCTAAGGGTTTGACAGTTTACAGAAGTTAATTGACGGGCTGACAGAGCTAGGTTGCCTATTATATAAATCTTGCTCTCTTTGGGAGTTAAAAACGCAAGAAATAAAGTCTTGTAGTCAATTAATTGCAGCTGTTGGACATATTGGATTACTTGTCTAATCAAATCATTAAAAAGGTTGTCTAATCAAATCATTAAGGCAGGCATGGTATAAGATATGTAGTCTAATCTGATCTTTTATTCAATTTTGACTTTGCCATAGATGCTTTCAAACTTGAGGAGTGTATTTTTTTAAGCAGAAGTTTAATTTGCATGGCTTTAATTTGGCTTGGGAGATAGCCACCCTTTAAAATTACTTATGTTATGTGTTGAAATATGCCAATTGATCATGATGGAGTAGAATTAATACGAACAAAAGCTAAAAAATTGTGTAATTGATGCAAATATGTACAAAATTGTAGGCAGACTCACCATATTGCCTTCATTTGTCCCAACTTGTGTACCAGCAGAGCCTCCAACTATCAGAAATTCATTGCAATCCATTGTTACTTCAACACCACCATTTTCTGAAAAAATTCATTAGAATGCCAAGCTAGCTTATTCAAAGAAATTTTTTCACTGCACAAACGTGCATTTTGTGCAAGAAATGGTGAAATTCATAACCATTATTTTAGAAAGGCTCTGGCTGTCCTGCATCATGAGTATATATATACCTACGTACTTTTTCCTGGAACTTAAAGTTTACCTAATTGACCAGTACTATGCAATTGATGCCAAATCAGGCAATAATACCCATGTACTTATCCATATAATAGATGTTTAAAATAATAAATTATTGATATTGTATTTTTCACTGCACAAAATCTTTTGTACAGTTAATTACTGCTCAAATTTTATTAAAGATTACCTTCATCCTTGTCTAAACAAATATCCACTGTTTTAAAAATTCCTAATTCTTGAAATATTGACTTAGCTTTCTGGGTACATTTAAGGACCTATATAAACACATTGCATTATGTTACATATAAGATATTACAGGAGAATCTGTGTGGGTATAATAAAAACCTATTTCACCATTTGAATTAAGTCATATATTGTACCTCCTCAATTGTTTTAGCAGCTAATACTCCAGAATCTTGAATAACTCCTGCCACAAAATCATTTCTTGTCCTTCTAACTCCATCAACATGTACTTTTGAAACTTTCACCTGTGAAATACAAAAGCATTGTAAAAACTCACAAGGTTTTTACACAATTATAACTTTAACAATCTTGTCAACCATGCAACGCTATAAGTAAACAATAACTGACAAATATGCAAACATAAAATAGATTCAGTTTCCAGAACTGTGCTTACAGTATATGATTGTAAAGTTTGAGTATATTTTATGGCTTTTTTGGGATGGTCCAATACTATCCAAAAAAATGCTGGCCTGAGATTACATGGTCAACATGGGTGGCCAGCTTTTGTAAACTGGTTTATAGAACATGCAGATAAAATCACTCTCACAGTTCTGGGAAACGAGTTGATGGGGAAAGGTAAAGGAGGGGGTGATTCGCTAAATATTAAATTTACCTGTTTTTGCAGAAAATCTCTAATGTGTATTGCCAGAACCACTTCATTTTGGTCTTGATGTGGCAGCCCTACTCCTTCCATTATCCTACTATCCAATATTCGGACTTTCTTAAATGTTTAGTTTTAGGAATAGATCGTCAAGCATATCGATTGGGCACGGTTTAGCCTGCTAGTCTAGCACAGATATATTAAACTTTAAAGCCACATGGATGCCATGATAAAACGCCAGCGATACAAAGAAGCATCAGCGGTTATCCATAACGGAATACTTCATTTCATTGAAGACAATTTTAAAAAACTGTTTCGACTTTCGTTTCGATACAAAGGTACAATTAAATGTAGCAAATATTATTTCATATTTAATATAATTTCATTGCAATACGTCGAGTTGCTATGGCAGATAAAAGGCCAGGTCAACGACAAAATCTTGAAAGATTGCTGAAATTTTGTGTTGAAAATACTGCATCAGAAGACCCAACAAGCCACTCCTCGGGATCGGAAATTGACCCAGAGGTACCGATTTGACTAGTACAACTGTACAAGGGTGTTCTTTGTGGTTGGCGGGGTTTAAATGGGGCTTGTATTAACCGATTAGGTTTTTGGGTTAGTATTAAGGTTAGTTAAGTTTAATATCAGGGAATCGGAGTGATGTCAACCATAAAGAAGGTTGCATGGTGATTAATGATGGACCCGAGACTGCACTTCCTACAGCGCTTGCGGCTACTATATATACACTGATGACTGATACACATAGCAGCCAGCAGATGCTAAATTACACATAGAAAAATTGTCATTCGAACGAGAATATTTGCCACTAGGATTGTCTAATTTGTCTTGGAGAAATGCTTAAGTTATCATTTTCACCTTGAATGCAGGGCATATATATTAACGAATAATGCCACAAAGCATATTAAAGATTGTGGTTGGTAGAACCTCTAAATCTTCAATAACTCTTAGCCCCATGCACCTACACTATGGCCAGTTTTCCTTGAGAGAGGGGCTTGATTTGCATGCATAAGACTTTAAAGCATATAAATACACATGCAGTACGACATACCAGAGTCTGCATGGGTATGAGAGAGGGACTTGCCCATTTTTAACTATAGTTGGTGACAAGAACTAACCAGCCAAAATTGTGTGTTTTGGGTTAACTATGATTAAATGCTTTGCTATATATATTATATAGTCGTTATCATGCATTAAGGTTGTCCATGTCAATATATAAACAAATATAAATATCAAACACATGACCTTAAACATATCTTATTTTTTTCACTTACATCAAAATTGTTTCTTCATTATCATCAATGTTGTTCACCTTACTATGACATTTAAGAAATCTTCAAGATAGATTTCCAAAGATTTCCCAAAAAAATTAACGTATGCAGTACAATCATGTGATCAATATTTTGCAAACTTAAAGTGGCTGTCAAGTCCGTTCTGCGCATGTTCGCACATTCCTTTCTGTGGGCCCACAGAAAGGAATTTTAATCGAATTATATCCCTATACGCATGCGCATTTAGTCAGGAGCAAGCTGACACAAAACACATGCGTTCAACATGGAGGACTCCGAAAGTTCTTCACGCGTTAGTGCCGAAAGCTCTGCGAATTTTAGCCTCCCAAGCAGCGAAGATGCAAAGACTAAACGCAAGGATTACATCGCTAAACGAGATTCGACGAAAGTAGCTCTTTACGAGCAATTTCAGCGTTGGCGATCTCTAAAAGAAGAGCTGGACTTGAAGACAGACAAACAACTGGCTGAAATGCTTTTAGATAATTACGAAAAAGGTGCCCGTATTTCGAGGTGAGAAATTTGAATTATTCATAATTTGGAAACGCATATACATAAATTACGTTCTTCTGAATCTGAACCAATTTATTTTAGTGACGCGGAGACACAGACAAACATTGAAAGCAGAGCTGCGGATTTGTCAGCAATGCCTATGGCCATTAGCCCAAGTAAAGTTTTATATCGACATTCAATGTCACTTTAAACAAGGTCTTTAAATGAATGGTGATAGGTAACCCATGTTTTATTTATATTTTCCCTTTTAGTTTCATCATCGACCCCGCTTATTCATACAAGGAGGCATTCATCTTTACCTCCCGTCGCTACTAAACGGAGACGTCTGTTACTCGGGTCTACAGACGCACTAAGGTATTTTTTGACAAATGTGTTTTGATTCTTATACATGTATGTACCAGCGATAAATCATACATTCACGCTCAATACCCAAGTACCTTTGAGTAACAATAATAAAAGAACATGTCGATGTATATTGTAATTACTACCCAATGGGGAATTAGATTATAACATTGTTATTTCTGCTAATTATTGTAGGACACAAACTGTAGATGAAGAAGAAACACTGTCAGCTATTGATTCTGATGATAGTGAATTGGAGGACAATAGTCAAATATCATTGGAACATCCAATGTATGTTTATAAACTATAATTTGATGATTTAACAACCAATCACAATTTATCACATAAAATGTAATGACTACCCAATATAGCATATATCACTTGACTATAGAGCTTTATATACTATTATATAGGGTTGGAATTGATGACATTGATAAGGTTTCCTTGGAAGAAGAGGTATTAGATACCACAATCAATGGTCACAGTGATGATGATGCTGATGATGATGATGATTGTGATGATGGTGATGATGATGATGATGGCACTGAAAAAGCCCCAAAAAATAGCAAACAAAGTTTTGTTCGTCATATACCATCCACTGATGTTCCAAAACTAGAGTTATGCTTGGCATCAACCACAATAATTTTGGAACTACTGAAGACACTGCATGGTCCTGTTTGTACAAGAGTTGGATGTAGTCGTCCATTGAATTTCAGGAATTCATTTGTTGGAACATGCCTAGTTGTTAATTGGGGTTGTTCTGCTGGCCACTTTGGTGGGAGGTATGTCTATTTCCAACTTTTCATTTTTTGGTACCGGTATTTATGATGATATTTTACAACCAAGTAACCTGGCACTTTAATGGATAAAAGTTTATGTTGATCATTTTGAAGACTTCTAAAATTGATGAACCAATTCATTTCAGATGGGCTGCCCAACCAACTTGTGAAGGTGTTCGTGCTGGAAATTTGCTTTTGGCATCTGCAATACCTCTTTCTGGCAATTCATATACCAAGATCGGATTTCTTTTCCAAGTCATGAATGTACAGTTTATATCCAAAAACTTGTACAACCAATACCAGAATTTATATATAGCTCCAGCAGTTAACAGCTATTGGGAGGAATTAAAGAATTCGTGTTGGGCAGAGCGTGAAAATAAGGATATTGTTCTCAGTTCAGATGGGCGTAATGATTCACCTGGACATTGTGCACAGTATTGCACTTACACCTTTGCAGAAATGGATTCCAAGTGCATTTTAGATATCAACTTTGTTGAGGTGAGAGAAGTGGAGGGTAGGAAAAGTCCAAACATGGAAAGAATTGGATTTGAAAGAGGGCTTGACAATCTATTAAAATCAACAATGATTATTAAAGAGGTTGTTACTGATGGCCATTTGGAAATTGGTGCATTAATGAGTAAGTATTCTTCATTGCACTGTTTCTTTATAAACCTTGTCAAATGCTATCAAAGGTGGTTGCTTTGGTTATGTCTTTTATGTCACCCTATTTGTTTTCAAAAATGTATAAAATGATGCTCAAATAACATATTGTGTGGAAATTGCTGATTTCCTAACCATACATATGTTTTTTTTTTAGAAAATGCTGCAAAGTATAAAGACATTGTGCATCAAAGAGATGTTTGGCATGGTGCTAAAATAATTGGGAAAAAAGTTATTTCTGTATGTATTTAACTTCTATGAGAATGAGGTTATTGTGTACCTTTTTGTACATTCTGTGCTTGGTACCTAAGACATTTGGTTATGCTTATCAACCTAGGCTGCCAATGAAAAAGGAAATGAAGATCTTTCTTTGTGGATTGCGTCTGTGAGAAACCACTTTTGGTATTCCAGTCGCAATTGTGGTAGCAATGTTGATAATTTGAAAGTATGTTATTATTTGAAATTTTCAAACCTTTTGCTGGTGTTCATGAAATTAATAAAATGGTGCATGGTGCAATATTTACCTTTTGAATGGACACAAATGGTATTTATGTTTATCTACTATCCATATGTACCATACCTAATGTTAATCCAAATAATTTGTTTTTCAATAGGATATATGGATAGGCATTCTCCATAATTATTACTATCATGATTCATTTCTTTAGAAATTGATTGTCTTCACAGTCTATAAGCACTGAAATATTTTGCATTATTTGCATGACCAAAAGTTGAGCTGTCTGATTGTAGGAGCAATTTCCTTCCCCTACCAGCCCCTAGCTACGGTCCTTGTACATGGTACCTAATTAGCACCATATAGTGGCATATTGAGAACAGTAATTGAGACAATCAGACAAATGCATGATAACTACTGGCTAAATTATATTCTGAACAAAATTCTGAATATGCATGGTCCAAACAAAACAGAAAAATCAACATATTTTTAAATATTATGCCAAATATACCAGCAAAAGTGGGGTTGTTTCCTGACAACAATTTGTACAACACTTTGTTAATACAAATAAAAAAGTTAAAAAAAACATAGGACTCATGTTTTCACAACAATGCCATGCTTTGAATATCAGAATGCTTTTTGTGCAAAAATCACGTGATTCTATTTATTGTTGAATTCATCTGACAATTTTTTATTCTGTTTGTTTTTTAAAATCATAGATATAAGATATAGACAGTTAAATATTTCCTTAGAAATAAAAGTTCAAATATCCGAACCTGCATTTTTCCAGCTAATTAGCAGCTGCTTGATGATTCCTTCTAAATGAACTTATAAGTAATACTGTAAGTTAAATTAAATCGTCTTGCATTTGGAAAAACCTCGCCATTTTGTTTTCGAAAGAGAGATAATTAGATAAAAGTGAGCCAATCAGATTGCAGATTTGCAAAACAGCAGAATATAAATTATTTTGTGCACGTGGAATGTCGCGCTTGGCCCCGATCACCCGAAAGTCAGGACCTTGGCTGGGCCCGTCACGCAATCTTGGAGCCAGTCAGATCATAACAACGATTTTCTTGTGAAATAACCATTAATTTTATTCAACGCATAAATATTTCTCTTTCTTAGCGTAAAGCATGGTTGGAAGAGGCTTTGGCAGCATTCTCTGGTGATGATGAAGTCAAGCTGATGAAGAAATGTTTGGAAATATTGGCTGCACCAACTGGTAAATTGTCATCGGATCCGGAGGAAGATTTCATGGCAAGAGAAAATGCTCTGGAACAACTTGAGAGTGTTGTCGATATTATTGATAATGCAAAAGGTTTGTCGATGCGATTTTAAACAAGTTCAAATCTAGCATGCACAACTATAGTACTCAGGGGCCAGTTGTTCAAAGCTAGGTTAGCACGCGACCCTGGGTTAATTTTAATCCAGAGTTTTAGTTTATGTGCTTCTGATTTACCGTTCGTTTTAAGACTTTAGAAAATATTACTTGTATCGGTTTAGAACTTTGTAAGCAAGCGATTAAAAAAATTAATGTAAAGATTTGCTTTAACCCAGGGTTAAGCTAACCGGCTTTGTTAACCGTTAAGACAACCGGCCCCTGCAGAGAGAAATTAAGGCAATATTCGATGTTTAGTAATCAATGCATCTGCTGTTTCAGATTGCTACACCCTCGGTGGATTTGATATTTTGTTTAAATATCTTGATGATATTAGCACCACTTTGCAATGGAAAGCGCTCTCTGTTCTTGGATTGTGTCTTCAAAATAACACGTTTTGTCAAGACCAAGCACTAAAGTTGGACGTTCTACCAAAGTTACTGCAGATGGTGTATGCGGAATATTCCGATTCTCAAGTCAATGTTAAGGCATTGTATGCCTTAGGATGTAAGTAAATATTAAATGTGAAAGATTTATCAAAAATCTAGGAAATACATTTGAAAAACGTAGCTACTCCTTAATATAAAGGTTAAGAAAAGGGGAAACCAGAAAGGTTGGAATCATAATGAAATTTTATTTATAAAATTTATAATATAACATTTATAGTACGCGCGTGCTGATTGGTGGAGAAGCGTATTTCTATTTATCTAGGTACAGAGTGTATACTAAAACAATTAGACAACTGGCCTTTGTTGTCTACGAGGGAATATTCAACTCAGGCTTCGCCTTCGTTGACCATTCGCTCATAGACAACTCGGACTCGTTGTCTGATTGTTAAATAGAAACGCATGAAAAAATTATTTCTATTTCTTAAATGTTAATTATTAAGATGCGAAGGTAAAAAAACCTGGGATGCATGGAGAAATCCTAAAGCCTTTCCCCCCCTCTTTTCTCATCTTAATGTCAACCAAATGAGATTCCGAGAAACACATGCTTCGATCTGCATAGTTTTAGTTTTTGGGCTTACTGTATCTAAATTATGACAGACGAAATGCAAGAAAGAATCTCCACATGGATTTTGGTAAAGATCGAAGCAGTTTATAAGAGTCTACTAGCCTTGTTAATGGGGCTAGCTCGTTTCTTTATACCATGCCATCAAAGAATTACTCTTGATAAGGTTAGATTTGCATTTTTCATGCAGGTTTAATAAGAGGCCACGATGAAGCAGAGCGTCAGTTCATCGCCAGCGATGGCTTCTCATCTTTACTCAGGGCCTTACAACGAAACATACCAAAATTGAACGTGAAGACAATTTTCCTAATTTCCAATTTGACCGAAGAAAAGCAAGAATATTTAGGTAAAGACTGTTTGGACTGTTTTGACCTGATGTTCCTCCGAGACAGACTTCTTTAAGATTTACACAGCTTGCAGCACTGTCAAAATTGCATCATAAAAGTGTTTTGAATTGATTTTGTTCCTGTGCTATTGTGAATGTTTATACACGCGCAGTTTTTAATAAAGTTTTGTTCTCTGTACGTAATTAGGGAGCTTTAGCAGTGACTACGAGTACGACTACGAGTACGAGATTCGTCATTCTCGTGCGTTGTTTGCTTGCGCCATCAGCCAAAACTCGTAGTAGTTGGGCTTTTGAGTACGAATTTTTGGGCAAAGTTCGTACTCGAAAGCCCAACGACTACGAGTTTTGGCTGATGGCGTAAGCAAACAACGCACGAGAATGACGAATCTCGTACTCGTAGTCGTACTCGTAGTCACTGCTAAAGCTCCCTATTGTCGGATCACACGGCGGACCAAGTTTTATTGCAATTCTCATTCCAGTGTCAGGACGGCGAACTGTCTGAAGTTTCTTAAAAAATATTTGAAATACTTATTCCCTGACACTGAACGCCAAAGGATTTGCTATGCAGGGACTACACGTGTGGCTCGCGCTTGGAACCATTTTCCATCCATAGTATACTTAAAAGATTATTGCATCCTATATCTTGCGTAGACTCACAAATTTACCAGCAAAACCTATTCACAGTGTATTTTATGTTTCTTAGAAACTCTTTACAATATGGGCATGGTGGAACAGATGATTTCAATTCTTCAAGGACCACATGACCGTTATCATGAACATGTGACTAATATTTTACTGAAATTAGTGAGCAATTATCCCTCCGCTTTGAGAGACTGTCAACAAGATAAATACGGGTTGAGAAAAACTCTGGAGAATCGTCGACAGTATCTTCAGGAAACAGATCAAGAGGCATATGAGGTAAAAATGAAAATCGATAGCTCAGCTTGGAAATATGTATGCAAAATTTAACGATAGGCCCCACCGGGAGGGGAAATATTCGTATATTCAGCATTATTAGTTTATTTTGAAATTGATTGTTTTTACGGTCTGCTAACACGAATATATGAATATTTGTCAACCCCCCTTAACGCTCCCCGCGTCCTCTGACCACCACGTGCACTGATTTGACAGTACACTCAAGGAAGCGATTTCCTTTGCCACCGATCTCTATCATTAGCTGAATGCAACCTTTGTAACCTTTGTTTTAGAAAAAAGCGCCTGGGTACGAGGCTGTTATAAATCAGTAGATAGTCAGTCTTGCGGTGAAGGCCCGTACGTTTGTAAGGTTGCATCCAGAGTATTATTAGATCAGCCCTAGCTATGAATACTTGGATTCAAACTGCCACTTTATCAATCTCAGTGAGGATTTATACAATTGTTTTCCTCCACTAATGAAAATGTGTATATTGATCAATTACAAGTAACGACTTTATTATCTTCTGAAACAAGGCAGGTCCAGTTAACAGATGAATGTTATTTTGTTTCATAGGAGGAGATCGACTATTGTAATCAACTCATAAAACTTTGTTTTCCTGACAACAATATCTTCGATAGCACTGACAGATGATGCTGCTGGGGATGACGTATCATGAACAGTAAATTGTCTGACACTTAAAAGCAAACAATGCTTTCGTCCTGGTCTCGAAATAAGAGTGGGTCAGCGAACACTTCCATGCAAGAACGCTTTTTTGTTCGAAGACTAATTGCAATAAGCCAGGCAGGAGGCACAGGACGATAATTTATTGTTTAATAATATAATATAGTATAATGAGCGTAATATAAATCTATCATTACTCACGTGTATATGCTAGCAAATCCCTAAAATCATTTCAATGCATGATAATAGAATTTTTTACATTTTCATTTTTATTTTCGTGGTTCGTTTATGAGATATTCCAGTTGGTTACATGCCTTTTTACCCGTATGTTTACTCCTATATGTTATTTAATTATACTTATAGACGAATGGCATGCAAATGCATGGTTTTTCGTGCTGCTAGGATTGCATGGTCCATTCACCATGGATGTTTAATTTCGGCAAGCGCGGGAAGATATACGAGCCACAAACGAGTTATTATCATTAATCATTTCTTCAAAAATTCATTGCATTCAAGATCAAAATTGTCGAGCTGTTTGTGCCATTAAGTTCTGTCCAGTATAGGCTGGTTTTCATAATATGTCATAATACGACATAATTAGTTGTAATTTACGTGACGGACGAATATGAAAACTAAATTACAATTAACAAATTATAACATTGGGAACCGCCTTTATACATGCAGTGGTGTAGCCAATCATCGATATCGATAATTGGGTAGTATATTCAATGTTACGCGTGACCATGCAATTCTTTTTCAAATCGATTGTTTTTACAGTCTGTTACAGTTTTCCCGCCTCCCAATTATCGATGCATGCTATATATATGCCCAATGCACGGCATTATACTGGGCAGGTTGAGATGTTATAATTGCTAATCAACTTACAGTTAGTGAAATTCCGAAATAAAATTACTTCGAGACATTTGAAGATCCGGCCAAACTACCATGGAAACCTGCACGTGGTGGAACATCTATAAGTTGTAAATTGAAAACAGATGTATACGCAAATCAGCAATCGAATTAAATAAAGATGATTGAAAGTTCGTTCTATGCATGTCTTCTGATTATAAATTGGACAAAGAATATAATTTGTTACAAAACCAGATCAGATTGGTTCACCAATAGGACTATATAGTATCTAGCATATTCAAGGCCGTTTTCGTCGCGTTATGATAGTGCTGAAATGCTTGGAACAAATTTCACCTAAAGTTGCATTTTACAGTACAAATCTAAGGACAGCAAATCAAATTAGGCCAGCCAAAGCGAAAATACACCTTTCTTCTCTAATGTTATGTTACCAAAATATTTTTGAAATAGTAAAAAGAAACCTGTCACATACCTATAACTATTCGCTTTCACTCTGTTTAAATTTCCCATCGTCTAATGGATATTTGTTAACTTTGTTTTCTCATACTTTTCAAAACTGTCCAACATCGTTTCAGCTATTATTGCCGACTCAATAATTTCCACCGCTGTTCCTTTCTCAAGAATTTCCCTCGCTGAATCATATGATATATTGACGTCGCTTACAAATGTTTCAATTTCATTCTTCTGTTTTGTAATGGCCGCTTGGGTCTTGTTATACAACTCATCAATTTCATCCTGTTTTTTCATTGCAATTTCGTCCAGTAGCTGCAACAACATTATTTTCACCCGTACATTTGTTTGCTTGGCTGACTCTTTCAACTTTTGTGTGTTACTTTTAAGTTTTCCCTCCAAATCAGATATGGTTACAAGAGCTTCAATGCCAGAGGCCAATTTCTTTTTAAATGCGCCTACAGAACTTTCCAGCGATTCTTTTTTCTTCCCCAAGATATGGTCGGTTTGCTCCAAGTTATGATGAGGGGGTGTATGAATAAATTCCATACAACAACTGCAGACAATTTCTTTACATGTTTCGCAAAAAAACTTCAGTTCTTTATTCGGGTGCTTTCCGCAATAGGGCACGCCGTTATCTTTGATTTTTGAATGGTTTTCAGGCTTCTTCAACTCTTCTAGCGTTAACAGAGAGCATGGCTCCTTTTCAAAACCAGGCCAACAATCCTGTATCGAATTGTGTTCTGCCAAGCATTCTTCGCACAGGAAAAGTTCGCACGTCAAACAACAAGTGCACGCTTCGTTTTTAACACATCTCGAACAATTGCTATTTTCTTTGTTTCGTAGTTGACCAGTTTCAAGCGTATTTCGAATTTCATGGCCACAAGATAACTCTGCTACTTCTTGATTAGGTTTCAAATGAAATACAGCCCTGCAGGAAGGACAATTGAAATCCTCGTTCTTCGCATACTTCGCTTTCTTGCGTGTGTTTTCAACAATTCCCTCTAAACAAACCTTGCAAAAGGAATGGAAACATGGCAATGTACGAGGATCATTCATTGTTTCTCGACATACGGTGCATTCAGGTGAACTTTCAACTTCCTTCGCCATGCCATCATCCGAATGACCACAAGATGTGGACATTTTTTGTTTTGGTTCGTGTTTCGAACAGAGATTATGATTCTAATTTGAATAACACTGGAATTTTTGTTGTAAAAATATCTTTATTAGGGGGTCTGATTCAGATAATAAACTACCATTGATGTTTAGCTTTAATTAAAATTGCGAAGCGGCATGGTTTCCCGGATCAATTTAAACAGGCACACAAAAACAGTAGGCTGACAAGTGTCTAAGGGACTGTTTACATCAGCCCGGTCAACCGAGATTCAACGAAGCGTGAGATTTTTTGGAGGTATTGAAATATTTATATGAAACGAAACAAATACGCTATTGTCGGAATGACTACACGATTGCCAGGATCATGTTACATCTCTCTTCTCCGCGGAGGCTTTTGGGGGTTTTTTCTTTTAAGTATATATAGAATTGTAGATTCATTTATATTTCGCTCGTACCACAATCTATAGTGTATCGTACGAGCGAAATATAAATGAATCTACAATTCTACATACTTAAATGAAGAAAAAAGCAAAAAGCCTCTGCGGAGAAGATGTTACATACTTAATTCAACACCTCAACTCAAAGCACAGCTCAAAGTCATCTCACGTTTCGTTGAATCTCGGCCAAGCAGATTCATGTAAAACAGCTCCTAAAAAGCCAGGTTCCAACTATTGAAAGCTATTAAAAACGTCTTGCTGGGTGCCTTGTGATCTACGCGATGTTAACTTCCCACACAACTGACTGAAACAATAGCGATTATCTTTACCTCTTTAGTGATAATTGAAAGAAACATAAACAGCTCTAAATTAAAATATAGTTTGGCATAATATTACAGTGCAACATTTGTTGTTATGCATGGGGGCATAATATCTATAAATTCATACTTCACAGACACTTTCTCAGATGTGAAGAAAAAAACATGTGTGCGCGATGCTGATGCTTTTTCGACTTCGTTTTGCGTCGTAAGGGATAACAAATTTTGTGGATAGCTATAACAATCTACGAATTAGCACGGTCTTTATTTTTGTATTTGTAAGCCGTGCTATGCTAAATTGAGCGTAGAGTAAACGGGGAAAGAATTCACGATTTAGGAAAACGTTTGAATGGATGAATCATGGTGCATTTCTTGAAAACGTATTACGGGGCTCCAGCATGTTACAAAGTCACAGATAAGTTTTGAAACAAGTGGAATTGGGAAAACTTGTAAAAACTCAACCCATCATCCACAGTTACAACGACTATCACTTGTTTTCAACCACCAAAATGACACGTAGTTAATACATGTTCTGTTTCGCTTCTGTCACAGATTTATAGGGACTGTGTTGGCAAAGGCGTATGTAATAGCTGTTTTGTTTTTTCTACAGTAAACAATTAGACAACTGCACAGGGCACGAATACGGTTGCCAAACTGATTAAGCTTGGTCTTCATATGTCGTAATTCATCGGCGATGTTCTACGATCTATTGTCGCTGATCAACGAAGTAAATAATTTTCTTGGATAGACAAAGGATTTTATGCATAAATGACCACCGACAATAGCTGTCGCCGATGAATTACGATATATGAAACCAGGCTTTAAGCCTGATTCTCATATGTCACCGACGGTCGGCGATGTAATGTTTGTGGTGGTTGACGAAGAAAATTTATACAAAATTAAAAAGTACTTTATTCTCCAGTAATCACCGACAATAGCCATCTCCGACCATCGGTGACATTTGAGAGTCAGGCTTTATGGTCTAAGTAGAAACGTTATGAGCAGCTGGCGTCAAACATATAAAACATTATTAATACAAATACAAGTCTGAGCTGAACGCCTGACCCGAACTTGATTATGGAATTTTAACAAGATAAGTCATGGAGCCAATGTAATACCACCACTTATCTGAAACACTACCACTGCATCTTCTCTCTCAATTGTACCGGTGGTGTCTCTGAAGCAAACCTACATTTAACAATTCAAGTGTCACATTACACATCTTATTTGCACGCAACATTATCGAGTCTGAAACCTTGTTATAATCTAAAGAAAATCTAAAAAGATAATCTAAAATGAGCCAAGCAGATAACATTATGTAATTACTGTTAGGTACATTTGCGGGATGGCAATTTACCCAACATAATGTACGATAAAGGGTCAATCTTCAAATTCCAGTGGATAAGTTATTTGGTGCCCTGAGTCCCACGAGTAAAGAACTTTCTCGCGTGGATTGTAAGTAACCATGCTGTTGTAACCAAACTTATTAACAAACGGAATGGCTAGGCTGGTCGCAGTTTTGCTGGTTGTGTTATAGGCGTAGTTAATAGTTGTTTGGCTTGCGTTGTAGTCATCAATACTGTAAACAACTCCACAGGCCACGAATGCGTTTCCCATGTTCTTTATGGGTTTGGGTGAAACGTTACAGAAAGTATTCAAAACGCCAAGTGTGGAAGGATCGAGTTGGCTGGCACATAACCTCCCATTGTATTCGGGAAGTGCATAAAGAGCCCACAAACCGTTCTCGTCAATCGATAAATCCATTCCGCTGTAGCCCCCCCATTGGTATGGATACAGTCGTGGGTCTATATTTTTGTAAGGAGTTGTTTCTCTGATCACTTTCTCGTGAACCAAATCGTACTGCACGATCATCCCAGTTTGGCTCCTGTAACAGAAATTTAAAATTTAGCATAATTATACAGCCGATTCAGGTTGAGCGTTTAGCGGAAGGGTTGATGACGTTCGTTGTGGGCGTTGTAACGTGACGTTTCTAAGGGGCCAATTACACGTTTCTATGCAAAGAACGTTGCGTCGTTGAAATATAAAGCACATGCTATACACGTAAAATAATTTCATTTATATAAGCTCCTTGATTGAAAATAATAGTTAGTAGCAATTATCAAATGGCTATCACATTTATAATTTGACTTGACAGAATCTGATTCGTTATATTTATTTGGGTCTCAACCTTTCAACTACAAAATTTGAATAAGCATTTGTATTCTGGCAATATTTTATATATAACGTCGTGCCATCTATTATTACAGTAACACAATGTTAGTGAAAATTGTCTTACGTCAATAGTTTTGAAACATGTCTATCCTATTGCATTAAATAACCAGTAATCTCATAAAAAGATTGCATGTCACCAGGTCTTATGAAATTAATAGCAGTGTATAAAGCCTCCTTCAAGTCCGTGTTTGTCATTTCCAAAAATCTGTATTTGAGCAAATATTTTAATTTGCCAAAAACATACTCAGTGGGGTTAAAATCCAGGTTGTAAGCGGGCATATAAACTAACTCGATGTTCAAATCTTGAAGAAATTCTCTTAGAACGCGTTCACCTTCGTAATGATGTATTGGACAGTTGTCCATAACAATTGTATCGCCGACTTCAAGACATGGTCTGCTGGGTTTACAAAAGTATATGCTTCTTCAAAAAAGCTTAGAAATTCCAAAGTGTTAGACGGGCCATCTATTACATTCATATATACGTTACCCCGCTAAGAGTACACATGAGATTTACAGTTGTGTTTGATGTTTCACAGTATCGCTGAATTTCAATTGCCCTTTCTACTGATGGAGAGTGTCCGTAAAATCTTGTGCCGTTGGTGGGTAACTTAACACCGCATTCATCAAAATATTTCAAGGTGTAAGGATCTTTTTCGTGTAAATAGTCCACAAACAATTGTGTGTATTGCCATGCTTTGCACAGTAAACCTTTCCTGTGCCACGTGAGTTACTTTTTTATAGCTAAATGCTTCGCCACTCAGCATTTTTTTTCGAACAGCATTGCTAAGAGCTGTGGTTGAAGTACTTCCAAGGGGAAGGTCGCCAACTTCAATAAGAATATTTTCAATTTCCGAATAACTAATCGAAGGTTTATGTGTTTTCAGGACTTCGATTAACTGGAGATCTCCGTCTGAAAGACCGCTTTTATTCCCCCCACCATGTTTTAGAGGGCTTAAAGACTTGTTTTCGACAAACTGCTTCCAAATTTTAGAAACAACTGGAGGGGACAAATTTAATTCATTTGCGATATCGGCATATCGTCCGCGAAAATGACAATTAGTCATATTTCCACCCCTCTCGATAATCTTATCAATAATAGTAGCTCTTAAATCGGATGACGACCGCCCTGCTAACCTTCCACATCTTGTTTATGTTAAATATAGAACAATATAAATTAATAATTTCGCGCCTCAAAAAAACGCAACGTTCTTTGCATAGAAACGTGTAATTGGCCCCTTAGAAACGTCACATTGCAACGCCCACAACGAACGTCATCAACACTTCCGCTAAACGCTCAACCTGAATCGGCTGTAAAATTCTGTGCAAATTGCATGGCAAATCAAACACGTGATTACGAACTCACAAATTTGTAACCATAAATTCTATTTCACACTAAAAGGGAAGACGAAAAGTGCCATTTGATTTAATGAGAAAATGAAAGGAAATGTCTGACCGAAAGCGCTATTTAATTTATCAAATTACAACAACATATCCATCCCCGTAATCACGACCGTAACGTAGCAGGAAATAGGGAGCTTTAAATTAGCAGCGACTACGAGTACGATTACAAGATTCGTCATTATAAAACTAAGTTACCTGTAGGTAGTGAATGCTGCCTTTATTGCATCTTGTTTATCTGTAAACACGCGCTTGCGCAAGCCTAGTCATGCAGGATTGAATTGTAGAAAGAAGTACTTAATCGGGTAATCGCCAAATCGGGTTGGACAACAGCCTTGGAGAATGTAGTATTCACTATTCACCGCTTGTTTCCATCAAAACATGGAAATTTAATTCCTGGAACACTACCTTGTTGTTGTTATTTTATAAAACAATTACTTAATACTTTCCGTCTTTGGATGGCCTAATCACTCGCAAAATCATTGTTTAATCTCGCGCGTTGTTTGCCGGCTTGCAGTAAGCCATCAACTAAAACTCGAAGTCGCCGAGCTTTTAAATACGAATTTGTTGGTAAATTTCCTACTCGAGCCCTACGACTACGAATTTCGTCAGATGAAGTAGGCAAAAGCAACCGACTTGGCGCAAAAATGAGTGAACTGGGTGATGGCTTTATCCTGATTGGCTCACTGGGCAATTAATCTCACTATTTCTAACCAATCGGATTACAGAAAACGCCAAGCATTGATTTTGAAATGTATGATCAACTTAAATACGAACAAATATTCTCACTAACCTATTATAATAAAGATACCGCCCATAGACAACAGACCCTGTGCCATCAAAGCCATATTGTATTGGTAGGTCGTAGGTTTTGGCAACCCATCCAGCCTTAAAGTTATCCATGTTTTCAAATTCCAGCACTGTGCTTCCTTCATATCCTTCCATGTACCATATTTTTTCTGGACCAAGCAGTCCTAAAGGATCTCTCATCCAGGAACCCTGCGCCTGTCCAGATTCCCGATGAACGATTGGTTCACCTACTGCCTTTATTTTGCGATATTTTTCTAGATAGATAAATCAGAAACAAAAAAAAATTCTGCTTAAGCGAGTTGGTGTTTTATGAATTATCTGACATTTGATCACAACTAACTCCTTCTCAAAATTGTGCACTACAGTCTGTTTCATCCGTATAAGAATCTTAAGGTGGTATTTGTACAGATATTTAAAAAATTATATAATAATGTTGAGAATTCAAGCAATTTCATTGGTCGAGAGCCATGATCTAAAAGAGCACAGACGAATGGAGTGATGTCACAGATAATTTTAACAAATTTGATGAGTGATCTTTTGTTTTACTGTCAGCCAATCACATTCTAACACATGTCTTAAGCTAGCCAATAGCATTTCTTCATTCCTATAGATCATGTATGCATGATATGTGCAAATTTTACTTTGACAATTTTCCAAGTGTTGGGGAAACTATTTGCCTGTTTAATTTCGGAATTTTTTCGATTTCATTATACATAGGTATAAAACAAATAGAGAACATTGAACTGTTTTCTGTTATACCGATAGTTACCAGTTATATAGATCGATACATGGTTAGACGTCATTTGTGATAAGAACAAAAGTGACAACGCACACCGGCAGCTTGTGGCCACTTTGTTTTATTATGATCACAAATGGCGTGATATAGTGTATCTATAACTGAAAAGACAACAGTTCAATGTTATCTATTTTATATCCCACAAGCTCAAGTCTATAAGTCACTGACTATGAGTCTATAAAGAGCCGTATAATTATTATAACATAGCTATACTAACTATATATGAGCTATTCTGCAATCTGATTGGTGGAGATACTCACCAGATATCAGCTCCTTAGGAGTGAATTTTTTATACAATGTCTATTTCACTCAAAAAAGGTTTTTACAGTAGCTATATTATATAAAACAATTATACCACTCACTCTTATCACTCATTGTATGTGGCTGATAGACAACTCAGTGTTTATTGCACCTCATATTCATTGGCTATCAGCTCATATAAAAAATTTTTGTGATTATCATTACATATCAACAGACTGGCAATGCATGGGGCACCTTACCTTGCTTTTCAGGGGATATAACTTTGACATTGCCCAATTTCAGCAACTTTTGTAGCTTTTTTACATCATCTTCCCTGATTTTTTCATATTCCATGACAATATCCCCATAATTTATTGCTTTGGTCAGCTTTGTTTTCTCCTTTCTTTCAATACTCCTCAATTTCTCTTCAGCCATTCCTGCTGACTCAATAAGTTCCACTGCTGTGCCAGCCTTTGCAACTTTTTTTGCAACATAATAGGATGTATTAAGATCACTCACAAATGATTCAATCTCATTCTTCTGTTGAACAATAGCGTTTTGGTTCTTCTCATACAATTCATTTATTTCATCATGTTTCTTCCTTGCATTCTCTGCCAAACATTGCAGTAGCATATCTTTCACACTTTCCTTTTCCTCATTGACAAACTTTTTAACCTCTTCTGCATTGCTTTGAAATTTTGCTTCCACATCACATATGGCTAGAAGAGCTTCATTGCCAGACACTAATTTCTTTTCAAATGCGTTTATAGAACGCATTAGAGACTCTTTTCTCTTCTCTACGACATGCTCAATTGGTTCGCATTTATGATCTTGGCGTGTATGAATAAAATCCATACAATATCTGCAGATTATTTCTTTACAAGTCTCGCAATAGAACTTCAGCTTTTTACCTTGGTGCTTCTCACAATAAGACGCGCCGTTACCTTTGATTTTCGACTGGTTTTCGGGCTTTGCTAACTCTTCTATGGTCAACACAGAGCAGGAGATTTTCCTAAACCCTGGCCAATTTTTTGCTATCGAATTATGTTCCGCCAGACATTCGTCGCACAAGAAAAGCTCGCAAGTCAAACAACGAGAGCTTGCTTCCTGTTTATTGCACTTCGAGCAATTGGCATGCTTCGCTTGGCGTTGTAGTTTAACAGCTTCAAGCATATTTCGAACAACATGACTGCAGGATAACTCTGCTACTTCTTGATTTGGTTTCAAATTAAACACAGCCCTGCATGAAGGGCAATTAAAATCCTCGATCTTCGCAGACTTTGCTTTCTCGCGCGTATTTTCAACAATTCTCTCTAAACAAACCTTGCAAAAGGAATGGAAACATGGCAATGTACGAGGGTCATTCATTGTTTCCAGACACACGGTGCATTCCAATAAACTTTCAACATTATTCGTTATGGCAGCTTTCGAATGACCACACGAGGTGGCCATTTTGTTAGTTTTGATCATGTGATTCCTGGAATCAAACCCCAATGGGTGTACCTCAAAGGATATTAAGGATTACGCTTTTTTTTATCCACCCTTTAACCGGATTAGGGGGATTACACGGAAACAGAAATGTACCGGATCATTTCACCTCCAGAGCGGAGTGATTTTCATTTCCGGATTGCTAACATTCTCGTGCAACTGCAACGCCTATCTGATATACAGGGCGTATATAAAAAAAAGAAGACGAAAGAATACAAAATATTGTTACAATTTATTGAATGCCTGATCAATTTCACAGCCGAATCAATGCAGAATCGAATAAAATAATGCATGGCACGAATTATTAGAGCTCAATAATTTCGTTTCGCACCTGCGTTCAAGGTTGTGCTTTTCACTGGCGGCGGTGGATTTCGATTTTTGATCAGCAGAACCTTTCTCAAAACGTGTTTTGTACCACAGCTGTACCTTACGTCTGGATACTGGAAATACATGCATGTAGCAACCCCTCAATATTTCAAACCAAGTACACAATTTCCTGAACTAACCCGACCTAAACTTATATTATGAAATGAAACAAAACTCACATCAGCCTATATTATATTTTACCGAATTAAAACAGTACAAAATCTTCACAGAAAAAGAAAAAACCTCAAATATTATTTTATTCTGTATTAAATGCAGTCGACGGCTAAAAGTTTTATACTTATAGTGTGGATTTGTGATATCAAAATTCAAATTACACTTTCAAAATAACTTTTTAAAGATAAAGCAAAGGTGTAGTAGCCTCTCACAGTTGGTTTATGCGTTTGAACGGCATACAAAGCTGAAAATTATACAAATACATCTCAATGACATACTTACCGCGACACAAATACGAAAAAAACGCGTACCCTTTGAAAACACATAAGCTTGCAGATTATGAATTATTTCTCTTACCGGCACTGCTTTATCTTGACGGTATCTTTGTTCTTCTTTGCTATCTGCCATGCTTCATCTTGTTTCTTCTCGTTTTATTTTGTAGAAAGTTTATGAAACGATTTTACAAAAGAGTTTACGAAATGACAGTTAAATTGCTAACGTTCTCATTGAAATGCAAACTTTCTGTCTAAGCCAATCAGAAAGATGTTGATTACCAGTAGTTACTCGCGCATGCGCATAACTTACAAAACCACCCAACGTCGACCGTCCATGACATAGAATTTGGACAACTTTGGATTCCGCTATAGAATTGTAGATTCATTTATATTTCGCTCGTACCACAGTCTAGTGTATCGTACGAGCGAAATATAAACAAGACGCCTGTTCTGGGTATGGTAATAAACGCGGGTGCGGATTGGCGGATACGGATACATTCGTGGTAGAAAACGCAGGTCAATTCTTGCGGATAATAGTAGAAAACGCGGGTAAATTCTTGCGGATAATGGTAGAAAATGCGGGTAAATTGTTTTATTATCAAACAATCGAAAAATAACTTGCTATAGAAGAATAATCGCTTAAGTTAAGTTACAGATTTTATTATTTTGATTTTGGAAGGTTGGCAAGATATATAATCATTTTAAATCCCGGTTCTTTTTAATGACTTTCACTTCGACAAATAAAGTTCTGTTCTCTTTGTCTATCGTTTTATTCAACAACCAAACTAAATGTTTTTAACCATAATACAAAGATACTGTTAACAACTACATATTCAGTGAATAATATTCAAATTGACTCATTCAAGAGAGATGTAAGAGTGTTATTCAATTTTGACTTATCCACCGTTTAAGCTAAACGGGCTTGATACAACCGACCCCTGGCCGTAATGCAAAAGTATACAAAATTCGTCAACTTCGCATGGCTATATTTTTCGTAATTTACAACAATTCGCAGCCAAACTTGGCAGTTTTACTAATTTTAGTAAGCTCTTTCAGAAAATGTCCTTTTTATCGCCGATTTTTTCAAAAAATGTCCTTTTTATCGCCGAGGTGAGAAATTAGTGTAAAGCGCAAACCGTCCGGAAAAGTTGAGAAAATTAGACAACTATCGGTCCTTCAGCAGGAATCAAACCTTCGCTTCTGCGATGCCGGTGTAATGCTCTTGCCACTGAGCAACAGAGGTAGCTGACAAGAGCAAGCGTGGTTAATGTGTATATGATGGTAATGCCGGGAATAGGTGAGGGTAAATCAATTACGATTTTGTGGCACTTCACTCGATGTTGGTAAATTCTAATACTAACCCTAACTAACCGTATCGAAAATAAACTGCCTTAAACAAGGGCATGCGCGGTCTATTTCAGATAGTTTTTCACTGCAGACGGCACTGACCATAAAACCATACCAGAGAGGTGCTGAAATCACCTAACGCTCGCCTGCACTGTTTGTCTAGAATAAGGCTAAACTCTGTATGAAAGGTATCTGTATGAAGCACAAATTACCGATCTTTTCATTACAAATTACAATGCTAAAATCCGCGTTGGAAGGTAATATATTAAGCACAAACTTCAGATATTAGTTGTGACCTCAGAATTACTGGCCATTAGTTTTATTTGTGACCAATATTTCTTCCGTTTCTCGCAATCCGCGCACGTGATATCAACAGGTAAGTTAACGGACCAGGCAAAAGTCCATCCTTTAAGCCGGGCGCACACACAACGATTTTACGGTAGTTGGTCCATTCAGGTTTAGACATATAGGCAGCCCTTGCCCAGACACGTTTTCCTTCTCGTGGCGCTCGCGCCTCGCGCGTGTACGCGAGTCTACTTGGTCTAATATTATGACCAAGTATAGATTGCCAGTCGCCACATTTTGATGAAAACATCCATCTAGACAATCTAGACAGGAATCGGCCGACTAAAATCGTCGTGTGTGCGCCTAGCTTTATGAAATAAACAAGATTGGATTTTTATATCTACACAAAAAAGGATTATGCATCAAACAACGAAAAGGTATGTACATAAATCTTATAGGTGCTTTAATAATATATTTGCATGTGTATCTACATAGATAATATGCAAATATATGTCACATGCGTTGCCTTTGCCTTTGCATTCCGAGCCTATCGGCTTTCTACTTATAAATACTTATGTGCTAAAGCTTGTAATTGCGAATTATCTGACAATATTCTTTAAACTTTAACGTTGGACTATGTTTTATATATTTTCACTCCCTGAATGATTTCTATATTAAGCGATTGAATTTTGATACGGCATGTCACAACACAATCTCATAATTTATAATTGTACATGTACAATACAAAAAACAAATTGTGGCATACAGGTGAAAATATTTGAAAGTTTCCATTTGGCTTAGGGTTGTACAAATACTTTCGTTAAATATGATTCAGCTACAACTTTGAACTAAAAAATAACAGGGCTACACAATAGCCCTGAAAATCGTAATGAGCGTGATAACTCTGGATAACTCTAACATTGACCTTATCATGATGCTAATAAGTTTAACATTTGCCTTATCATTTGATAATTTTGAGCAAAGCTCTCTTTATTATTGTATAAATGTGTACCAAATGGCACTGAATAGTCACAATGCATATCGATGACTTATATTTATGATGATTCCTCTGATGTAAAGCCATAATATTTAAAAAATATAGCATCTTAACATTGATCTTATCATTATGCTAATTAGCTTAACATTCACCTTATCATTTGATAATTTTGAACAAAATTCCCATTATTTTTGTGTAAATGCGTACTAAATGTCACCATATAGTCACAAGACATATCGATGAGCTATATTTATGATGAATCTTCTGATGTAAAGCCATAATATTTAAGAAATATAACATCTTAACATTGACCTTATCATTATGCTAATTAGCTTAACATTCACCTTATCATTTGATAATTTTGAGCAAAACTCTCTTTATTATTGTATAAATGTGTACCAAATAGCACTAAATAGTCACAATGCATATTGATGACTTATATTGATAATGATTCCTCTGATGTAAAGCCAAAGTATAGAAAAAATATAGCATTTTAACATTGACCTTATCATTATATTTTGTTGTATAATTTTCACTCCCCCCTGGTAAATGGTTCTTTTGCAACAAATAGACTCCTTAAGTAGATAAGTTGAAAATAATGGGAAAATAAGAGTGACATCTTAACATTCTACTTATCATGTAGTGTGGACGCGGACGGGGACGGGGACGGGGACGCGGACGCGGACGCCAAGACTATAGCAATAGCTCTCTTGCACTAAAGTGCAGGCGAGCTAATAAAATGGCATAAAAATAATGTAATCTATAGAAAATAAAAAATAATGTAAATAATGTAATCTAATATGCACGAAATCGATTATATCCATGATTTCGAACCTTCGCGTGAGCGTGTTCTGTTTCGCTTCATTACTGCTCCAGAAATTTGGACTACTAGAGAACAATAAAATAGAGCAGTTCTTAGGGCGGATCTAGGTTAGCACAGTAAGTCACGTGAAGAACGTATTTTTCACAGTGAAACGACAATTAATTTTTCAATTATCTTAACTTTACTAAATTTATCTTTACTAAATCTGAATAGTTAATTTTTTTTCAGGAGCCAGAACACTGAACATCAGTAATTGGCCGATCGGAGTTGTGTAATTCTGAGTTAACTAGGATTTAACTATGAAACATTTTAATGGATTTTAATCCCACCATAGTCCAGTGTGAAGGGTTCAGTGTCGGAAAGATCCTGTCTGAAAGTACATATACGAGTGACCACGCGAGTGACCTATCCTAATCTGCCCAGTGCCCACGGCTTGTCCTGAACACGGAACGCGTGTGAAACGCCTGCTGGAACTTCTTACTTCTGAGTAATTTTGCCACGTTTAAAGTCTTAACTGCGTGGATGAACTAAGCTACAATTAAGTGAACTTAAAAGACGGTTCACATTCAGCAATGGTTCTGTTGGCACAGTGACGTTATCGTGCGTGAGCACAGTGTTTGAACAGAACTGCTGACGTTTACTGTCAAAGGTCAAAGCACAGTATTGAACAGAACTGCTGACGTCTATTGTCAAAG